GTAGGTAAAAGCAAACTTATTCTTCATCTCTATAGTAGAAAATTAATCTAAATAACATGTATTTATTACAAAAAAAAAAAGGAGCCATAAGGAATATATTATTGAATAAGATTACAAAATGTGAAAATTAAGTGGACGAGAAAAATCGTCAACTTTGAACAGCTATATCTTAGAAAATAATCGTTATATATGAAGAACACAAATGGTTTTTGTTGCATTGTTACATATATAATAAAAACCGTGGCAGTTTACTGATTTCGCGTACTTCAAAAATTGAATTTCGGCCAGGTTTTTCGCGAAATGAACGACTGTGTCGTAGCGTCGGAAGAATGAAACAAATGAGTGTGCAATGAGTGCGTCCATGTGCGACCGCACGTTCAGCTGACAGGGATATAAAGCTTAAGCAACCCGCGCCGGAAGTCCACTTGTAAATTTCAACCGCTTATATCTCAACAACGAAGCCTCAGATCGCAAAATGGTAACAGACTCGTTGAAATGGAATTCGGGATAGGATAGATGCTTAGTTTTTGTAACTAATTGACACAGATTAACCGTTTGATATTTGACACGCCGTATACCAAATTCAACCTATTGAACGTTTACTTCGACACAAGAAGATGAAAACAACGAAAAATCTGCAGAAAATAATCCAGAAGAGGAAAATGAAGAAGCCATTGATGATACACTGTATCCAGTAACTCGCAAAAAGTATCTGGCAGGCCCGGAATTACAAGGACCGGCCAACCTGGAAGACCGAGAAAGGAGTATCACGTAAAACCAAGCCAAATCGATTTGGCTTATTGGCGTAGAAAAACCAAGCATCTGTCCTTTCCTGAATTCCATTTCAACAAAGTCCACCTGTAAATTTCAACCTTATATTCAAGCTTATATCTCAAGAACGATGTATCAGATCGCAAAATGGTAACAGACTTTTCGATTTGTACTGGTCTGAAAACTTGATCCTGAAAAAGTGTCCCACATATGTGTCATCACCCTGTATATTTTGTTTGTATCTCTTGTAACTCTGCCCTCTCTTTCCACCCAGAAACCTCTGCTCCATACGGCATAATTCCTACCATCGGACTATCAAACACTAGTAGCCTTCTTCTAAAGTATTCTTTGAACTTGCACAACTTCCAGTTGTGACAGAAATTACAATTACAATTAAAATTACAATTTCATTGTTGCATTATTAATGGTTGTGGTATCCTTCATAATTACGTGCATTTGAAAAGGTTTGGGCATTTGATATAGCGGTTGGTTGTTACAATTCGACGTGTGCGACCTCAAATATTAACCCCTTTCCGTAACCATTTAGCTCGACGACACTCGGGTTCGGAAACTGATGTTTATGTTTGTCCCGACTATTTGTTTACGAGCCTGGCACGTGATATTCATGTTTGGGTGAAAATCTTCATCACGAGACCGACTCGTGAAATTACGGCAAGGGGTTAAGTACGCAAATCTTTAGTAACAGTCGAAGCTTTCGCGTAAACAAAAATAGAACTATGCGAAAGATCCCCGAGAAATGATGTTGAAAGATGTTTGTGCGACAGATTTAAATAACATGCAATCGAATGCCACGCGCTCTTTTACTGGAAGTATGATGAAAACGATTTGAAATCAACCGCGCTGACGATAATTACTGCGTTTCGCGATTTTTTCAACTGTTACATGTAATTGAATCATCTTATCTAATAAACAGCGCCGGGACCGATCCAATATGATTGTAAATATAAGTACAAGGAAACACCGGTCAGTGTTGCACCCCGATTTCGATGCAACTTTGTACATTTGTTTCGTGTGACCTTCCTATGAATCGTACCATCTTCATTTCGTGTCACTTTTGCGTTTCAAGGGAGAAACTACCTCTTTTGTCCGATCCGCCCCCATTTACTTACGCGCTTATAACTCGAAATTGATAAGAGATATCGAACAAATGTTCAAATAAACATTGGACTATTTATAGAGGCCTATAAAACAGTATTAAAAAATTTTCAAAAGAAAATATTTTTCTTGGCAATCACCACCCTTCCTCCTCGAAATTTGTAAAAAATTTTGATTTATTTCTGGATCAATTAAAGCGACTTTTTATTCTGAATCCAACGGTATGTATTTGTCTATAATTATCATAATGGCAAATGATGTAATACTGTAGAATTGTCGCTCTAGTAGTCGATATTGCAACGGAAAAAAATAACGTTTGCGATGAAATTCGTTAGTTTCGATACTTCGACGGATAATGAATAGGGGAAAAATACAAAAACAGAGTAAAATTGGAATTCTTGTACCTTTACTCGATTGTTCCTAACTCCGGTACTTATCCATAGATTTTATTCAACAAAAGCTTGTTTTCTACGCGAAAGTGCGATCTATACGTAAACAATAAAACAACTGGACACAATTTGACAGTTACTATTTTTTCATGGCGATCGAAGACATTTTTGCGTTCTATTTTAGCCGAAGAAATCAAAGTTTCTCATATATGGTGGCTCGTAACGCTTAAACTATTGAACCGATTGGAAAACAATGTTAGAAACAATTGTTAGAAATTCGATTACCTTTAATATGGTATCTTGCGCGACTAAATCGGACGTTTCTAACTCGAAATATGGCCTGAAATGTGAAGGTATATCAGACAAAAATCGAAAAACAGAACAAAAATTTATATAAAAAAAACTTATCCATAGATAAATTTTTCATTGTGATTTTCGAGCTTAGCAGGCCAAAACACGTAAGAAAAAGTTTCTGGCATCGAATGTACATTTTGGCTGTAAACTAGTGTAATCATTTAATGTATAAGATAATAGATACTTGACAAATGAGTATGAATTACACTGCTGCGTCGCTTTCTATTACATGTACGCAATCATCATACACCGTAGATACCGTTAACGGCGAATTAAAAGATTAAAAGCATTTAGTCGTTCAACTTACATACCATTCGAGTTCTTATATGAATACGTTGATCGGAAATCAATTGTCTGCTACATTATTCGGATCAAATAAGAACTCTGACCTCTTATATCCGTTGTAATGTTATCGAGGAGATATAATGGTAGTACGAAATATAAAAACGTCATACGGTGATAGCGTAAATTTAGTTTGTCCAAAATTTTCCACGAGGAGCTTAAACGTTGTAAAAAAAACAATAATTGACAGTCAAGTGTTGAAAAAGTGAAGTTCATCCAATAAATAATAAATCGCATTCTAGGCCAACATCGAGAATCTAATTACACAGGTGTAAGACAATTTTACGAAAAGTTTTATTTATTATTAATTACAATGCTTTAAATTTTAGTATAACGGAAATACAATTTAGTACTCGTGAAAACACTTTTATTTACCATTTACCATTTAACACGTTGATCGCCATGTCACCCATATATGGTTGACAGTGTTTTTCACTCAAGAACTACAAAGATTCATTCTGAAAGTTAGACGTCACAGGAGATGAATCCAAATGAAGTTCTCGAATTTTGATGTAATTACAAAACTAAATACCACGATAAATGTTTCATTACCTCGACTCCGATAGTCTAAATAATATTTAATCTTGGCAGAAATTTTCAACAATATTCGTTTGCCAGTCAACGTGTTAAATCGATGATATAAAAAAAATTTCGTTTACGTCACAATATAAAGCCCATTTTGTTCTGCAATTTGCACGTACGCAATTCTTTCGTGTCATCGATAGTTATTGAAACATGCGTCTGTCATACTTTAGCGTGGACGCCCTGTAGTTAAAGACCTATCGATTTTTGGCGACAGGTTAAATTTCGCGGGCCGCCGGGTGATTTTTAATTTCTATCGAAACTTTCATCTCTTGTCGTAACTTGTAACTTTTATATCTGATCGCGAAATGTTACTGTTCATTCGTAATTTGAATACAGCTATGTAACAAACGAATAAAGAAACGATCCGCACAATTTTTTCTCTTAATAATAGAGAAGAGGAGAATGACGTCGAGCGGTATTTTGTACATGTATTATATTTTTTAACCTAATGTTAATGTTATTTTTTAACTTGTATGTTTACCTGAAGTGCGGCCCGCTGTATCGTTACGCGTCATCGAAGTGACCCGCGAAACTATTTGAGTTTGCCAGGCCTGATAGACAGTGTAATATATTTTTGCATTAACTAAATAATATTATCCCAACAATTTCATATGAATATCGAAGTTTGATTGATACATCTACGGAAAATTTATCCTTCTTTCCATGACTGTCACGTTTACTTGACATTGGTTCATCCGATAGGACAAAATCAAATAAATTAATAAATATAGTTTTTTTAATTACTCGTCCGTACTAGAATCGGAAACTTCTGCTTTAAAACAAAAACAAAATGACGGACGTTTGAACATTTTCTTTTTTTCAACCGACCTCGAAAAAGAGGAGGTTACTCAATTCGACATGCATATTTATTTATTTTTTTTTTTTTCACTTCTTGAATGTTAATCATTTAAAAGTAACGTTTAATATTACCGAACAATCATAATGTAAGTACGGACTGTACGAGAAAACTATATATTAATATTTTTGATTCTTTGCTTTCGAATGATCTGATATTAAGTTATGGTCAATCGTGGGGAAAAAAGAACAAATTTCACGTGGTTATTATCAATGAAAAAAACGATCAAAAATAAACAAAATAAATTGTATTTATTTGTTTAACGTATCCAGTAACACGTATGAAAGCATTTGGTATATAAAATAAAAATTCTTAAAGTAAACCTATTTTTATTTCGCGCGTACGATAATAGCACTATAAAGATAGACTATTTCAATCGTCGGCACATTCTCATCTCGATAAAATAGATGGAACTTTCCAATACATGTGTATGATACGTATGAATTTATTATAGTTTACACGATCCTGCATGTTTCCGTAGCAACGTACAACTTAATTTCTTGTAAGGGTTATCGTTCCGGGGTCATAGTGCGCATTTGCTCAGATTCCAGCCATTTTATTATCATTAACATGCATATATATGTGTATCTATACACAGTGACAGCATCATTTCCCGCCACGCTGCTTCGGTAGACGTAGTTTGTTCGTCGATACGGTAATGTTCGGTTTTATTTAGTGCTACTCCTTGTGTATCCTCGTTTAATGATCAAACGCCATCGAAACGGTTACGCGTGATGAGGTATGTGCTCGACGTTAAACGCGAAACTTTATTTGCCGTTGCAATAATAGAAAAATAATCAAGGAAAACGAAGCTGTTTATTCTTTTATCCGTGAAAATTTACTGGGACTCCGCGAATGTCGATGATCTTGTTTGTTATATAAAATGAATACGTGCTAAACAGAATAAAATTGGATCAATAAATTAAGAATAATTAGAATTTCGCGTGGTGGCCAAACTTTTTTTTTCATCAACGAATAATTAAACAAGATCGTCGCGACGTCACCTTTCCGAACACCGCCACTGCTCGCACTGGCTAATATAAGCAACAAACAATAATGCGATAACGCGTGATCGGTCGTTTGCTGAGATATTCGCATTACGCGGTATCGTGTAATTGACAATTAACGCGTTAACACGTTCCGCCCCATATATATCATTTATGGTACATAAATATATTTATTTAACGGGCTGAAAGCATATGTCCTATGACAAATTTGATTCTGTAAAATATATTTTTATCAAAAGAACGAGGCATAATTCAAAATACAGTATTGGACAAAACGAAATAAGCTAGTTACATGTAAATTCATGGTGCAATGAAGTATTGTGTGATAATATAATAATCTACATGTATGGTCGAAACGTCAAATGGCTCGAACGAAGAGTCGGGCAAAAACCGTTTGGCATAGAACGTAGCAAGACGACGCACTTCGTAAGGAATAATGTTTATCAATCGAGGAATTTACGTATTTCTTCGATAAGAATCAGACTCGGACTTTAGTAATATTATTATTTAAAATACTATTTCATATAACAGGTTATTCTTTTTTAATTATTTTCACACTTGTTCGTTGTTTCATACTTTTGAATATAAACGTTTTTTAAATATTTTTTGCCGACATTTTTCGCAGAGATACAGCCATTTGGAAATGACCAAAGTTTTCGGGAAATTATAGCGTTCCCTTAATCTTGACGAGGAGTGTATATGAAAAATGAAGAAATTGTTAAATGTTTATTTTACATGAAAATTATTATAATTGCTATATCTTAATACTTAATTACAGTACCATGGAAAAAAACGAAAGTTCGATACCTGGACTGAAATCATTTGTGGCTAGAAATAGCGGATTCAAAACGCCGTACTCTTTCATCGAAGAGAGAAAGAGGATAGATGGGGCGGAAGGTCTGTGGAGGGTCAGGAATGGTTTATATGATCTAGAAGGTTTCTCCAAGCATCATCCAGGAGGAGAGGAATGGATTACACTCACCAAAGGCACTGATATCACGGAACTTTTCGAGGTAACTATTTTGTATTTAAACGGGAGTCCCGATTAGAGGGGCGATATTTAGTTATTAGTATAATTATTAAAATTTTTGAGAGAAGAAAACCATAGAATCGAAAGCAATGCGAATTTTGTCTACATATTACTATTAGGTAGGGGAATGGAGGATAGCTCCACATATTTTTTTCTTTTTTATATTTTACATATAACACATAGATATAGATAATAACTAGTTTAAGATAATTCAGAAATATTTACTTGCTTATTTTATCGTATTTAATTTAGACATTTTAATTTTCAAATGCTTCTAAACATGTTTTTCTTCGCAGTCGCATCATTTAACCGACAAGGCTGCAAATATTCTGCCCAAGTATTACATAAGGGACGCAATTGTTCCACGATCGGTGCCATTAACATTCGAACCGAATGGGTTTTACATGACATTCAAGAAACGCGCGCTGGAAGCGCTAAAGGACGTCGATTTTCATCGACCCTCGAAGAGATCTAACCTGACTGCTGATTTTCTTGCGTCTTCTGCTATTCTACTGAGTCTTATTGCAGTGACCACACAATCTTATTTAGCACTCATTGCCGCTGGTCAGTATTGAATGTTATTATTAAATTTGATTAGAAAAATACTAATATTAATTATAATTCTATAATTCTACAATCCTATATTCTATATTCTATATTCTATATTCTATATTCTCCTCCTTTTCGAAGTCGGTTAAAAATATAGCATTCTATTAAGAATGACATTGATGATTTTAATATAAATTTTAATATAATTTAATCAATATATTTTCATATATTTTATATAATTAATTTTAATATAATTGATAATTTTAATATAAAGTAATTATCTTGGAAAAATTGTCCTTAAAACAGTGCAACTCTACATTAACAAGTTTTTGTCATAAATGATGGACATATAATCGAATCTCTCGTGTTTCCAGGAGTTTTTCTTGGATGGACAACGATTGCCGCACACAATTATTTTCACATGCGGAACACATTTCGAATGTATTATTTCGACCTGAGCGCAATGTCATCGAAGGAATGGCGCATATCCCACGTAATGAGTCATCACACGTATCCCAATACTCTTTGGGATTACGAAATTTACGTCGCCGAACCTTTCCTCCGATGGTTTCCAGATAAAACGAAGTCCAAGCTTCAGTCTTTTTTCAGTCAATTTTGGAGCCCTTTCATTTGGTCTACAACCTTCATCGTCAATTTAGTTAAAAGGTGTTTATATGATTTTTTTATTACTGTTATTATTTACAAAAGTATTCTTCGGACTGATTGACTTGCGAGGGGTAAGTACTCGTACGAAGGAACGTATTGTAATCGTAATTACGATTACGATTGTAATCAAATGTTTCAGAGTTGTGAAAATGTTGTGCAAATTTTTTTGCGATTACATCGTATTACGATCGTATTTTCAGGGGTTTTCTACCTATGAAAAAAAAATTAGTAACATCGGATGATCAGACCCTCGATACTAAATATTTTTGGCATAGTGCATTTTTCCCTATCACCGATACCAACCAAGTTATTCTAGGTGTCAATAGTTAGTGATCCACCCTGTATACTAAATTAAAAATAACTATTAATAAATTATGTATATGACTATTAATAAATTATACAGGGTGTCCCAAAACTCGGGGAGGAGCCGGAAATGGGGGGTAGCTGAGACGATTCTGAACAACAATTTCCTTTGCAGAAATGTCGGATGGGGCTTCGTTAAGGAGATATTAAGCGAAAACCCTGACCAATCAGAGCGCGCGTAGACCGTTGGAGCGGCCGGGGTAGCGAAGGCTACGCGCTGGCGGCCGCGCTTGTACGCGAACAAGTGACTCGACGTGCATCCAAGGACATTGACGCTGCCGCCTAGCGCGTAGCCTTCGCTACCCCGGCCGCTCCAACGGTCTACGCGCGCTCTGATTGGTCGGGGTTTTCTCTTAATATCTCCTTAACGATGCCCCATCCGACATTTTTGCAAAGGAAATTGTTGTTCAGAATCGTCTCAGCTACCCCCCATTTCCGGCTCCTCCCCGACTTTTAGGACACCCTGTATATACATAACTCATAAGTAATAGTACATCTCCGTTTGTTTCAGGTATTATTCCGTATTCTACGAATATCGCAAATTCGAATTTCGCGACGCGGTGCCGTTCGTCCTCCCCACTTTGATGTGTTACTTCGCGCCAAGTGTTCTGATCGGTTTGAAATTCTGGGCATTGGATCTCATGATAGGTGGCTTTCTATTCGCCATGATTGGTTTTAATGCCGCCCACCATCATCCTGACATTTTTCACGATGGCGATACATACAGGTTCGTTCATATAAAGATATCATAACTGGAACATGATCAAATTCTAATTCTTAATTTTAGATTACAGTACATTTTCAATCCAGGCACAATTCAGTCTTTTGTATACTATCTAACTCGGGCTCGTTTCGATTCCGAAAGAGAATAACTATGAAAAAATGACCCGTTTCGTTGAACATTAATTCAGAATTATGTCATTTTTATTTCTTTTAATTGCCTGAATTTTTTATTTAAGTTTAGATTATATGTATAACATATAATACAATATAATATAATATATATATATATATATATATTAATAAGAATATACATTTAATTGTATATTCTTATTAATCAAAATAAATAAATATGATTAAGTTCTAAATTAATCTTTAATGAAACGGAAAAAATTGAAACTTAAGTGAAAATATGTCCTATCTTCTAAATACTGTAACATGTATATTATTGCTGATATTTTATATATTTTTGTATTTGTGCACATTTTCATAGATCTCCCCATATTTTCATTTGCCATAAATGCATAAATATATCCACAGTCTACCCATCGGCCTTAGACGTACAAATTCATATCGGGTACCTGACATTCTTTTCTTTTTATCTGAATAAATTGTATCCTTTCAACCATGATAATTAGATTTTGGACAGAAACGATACTTGAAAGAAAATCTTTCCTATTTTCTAGGGACGATCTCGATTGGGGTTTACTGGAAGTGGACGCAGTGCGAGAACGAAAAATAATCGACGATTTCAATTTTCTTGTACTGACCAATTTTGGCTTACATTGTCTTCATCATTTATTACCGACCGTGGACCACTCTTACTTGCCGCTTGTCGCCAATGCGTTAGAAGAAACTCTTAAAGAATTCAAAATCAACACAGACAAGTGGTCGCAATGGGAACTCGTGAAAGGCCAGTTTCAACAGCTGTTGCGGAGAGAGTCGAAGAAAAATTACAGATAGATCGTAGGATAGCGTGTAATTAGCTGCATGATTGATAGAACCATTGAAATCTCTTAGTAACTGTAGGTACTTTAAGGAAATTGATTATGTATAATGTACTTCTTAACTCATTAATATCCACTAATTCCACAAATATCCTACTCCATACTTTAGTATGTTTTGAACTGTTTTGTGGAATTAAGTTAAGTCCATAACATCTAATGATATTGTCAATTGTTTCAAATAATGCCTCTGAAAAATGCATATAAATAAGTGCACGAACAAAAATTTGCGATATTTAATAAAATCATAGGTTTCTTACAAACAATTTGTCTTGTATTTCGTGTACAGCATAATTATGTTATTGTGTATCTTCGTTGATATGTAAAAAAAAAAAAAAAAATGAAAATATTAAATCATCTTTGTTTTACGTAAAAAGAATAAAAAAAGAAAAAGTGTAAATGTGCAAAAGTGCAAAAGTGTAAATTGTAAAGTGTAAAGTGAGATTAGATTAGCAGGAATGTAATTAGTTTTCAGAAAAAATTCATTCGTATAAATTATGTATCAACGTTAATATATTTTTATACATCAGGTAAAAAGTGGGTAGACCTAGCAGAAGAACGAATGCTAAATTTACTTCTTAACTTTATTTATTGCTTATTTACTTTAATAAATACATATTTCGGCTCTCTTTATAAATTACAATTAAGTTTATAGGATAGGATTATCATTTGGATGACATGTATAATATGCGCGCCGCCGTGCAAATCCGCGACTAGCGTTAAATTCGTGTTCGTTGCTTGTCTTCTCATAACGTGTAATCTCGTTCTTTTTTTTTGTTACTTCTTTTCTTTTTTTTTTTTGTAGTGAATATTCTTATATACGAGTATCGATTCGTCCGCTTGATTCGCGCGTAATGCCAGTACATGCACATATTTACCTTTCTTCTACGTATTCGTGACAAAACATTAAAATTTTCTTTATTGGTTCTTATCGCCTCTCATCTCGACCGCTCGCAACTTTCCTTTCTCTCGCTTTCTCTCTTGCTCTCTCCCACTCTCACTCTTTCACTCTCTCTTTCCTCGACCCTCAGCGCGCGAGTGGTGAAGATTTGTTAATTACTCCCCTCCCCATGTTTCTCCTGATCCATTCCCGAAACAATCGAATATATCCCAATGCTCGAAACGTGTTGAAAACCTTTTCTTATATCTCGTTTACTTTCTTCTTTTCTCCTTTTTTCACATTAACGAAACTGGCAAAGTGACCAAGCACGGACATTCTCGTGTCGATGAAAGTAAAGATCGTGAGTGTACCATTGTACGGTCAGTGTGTTGGTGTGTGTAGGTGTGAAATATGAACGGGGTGAGATATTTGGCGAGATGCCACGATGAAAGTTCGCGTCGTTGCGATTAATCCTTTCGTTTTGTCAAGCTATTGCGATCGAGTCTCTAGCGGGTAAGTTGGTCGCATCGATCTTTACAGTTCACCATCGGGCTGCAGGTCGAAGCGTGGCGGGAATGCGGAACCATCCAATTGGGGTTTGAACGCAGGTCGGTGTGGCTGAAAAACAAATTTACACCTGTTACTTTATCTATTTCGCTTTCGATCGGGATCGAGTTGTCGGGGCCAGAATATTTCTTCGAAAAACTTGCAAGTAACGTTGCTGTTTCTATAGCGAACAGTGTGCATGTCGAGTATTCTTGTGGACCGGACTTCGACATATTAAACGCTTACTTTTGTTAAACGCCATAAAATTTTACATTTCGACCGTGGTACTATGTTAATCTCTGCGCGGCTGAAGTGACGTTTCTTCGCAGATAGAAAAATAAGTATTGGGGAATTGAGCGACACGTTCTCTGTGTCTCTGTTTGCGTATTCAACGCAGATGGTTTGGTCTTTTACTTAAAATACAACAATGGGAAACGACGACTCGAGGGTCTTGATACCTCTCTTCCGTATTTCACGAAGGTACATCTTGTTTGTTTAGTTTGACGAAAAAAGAAAACAAAATGTATATTTAGTAAGTACGACAGATTGATTTGTACAAAGAAAACAGTCGACAGAGATCGTTATATTTATCAATTGAACTAGTCTGTTTGACGGTGTTCAAATAAAAACAATACACGTACACAGGTCTGCGCGCGTAGCTAACTAGTCGCTAATCAAGCAGTAACCGTTCTAAATTCTATACAGAGGGATCTGTTTGTCAACTTTTGTCTTTCGTTGGGGATAGGTGATACACAACGTTAATCAATGACGAGGAGCAAGCTTCTTATTCGTAAGCTGCGCCTCTAGAAGTGTTATCAACTTGTCACACAGGTTCTAGAATGAGACGTTGACGAACGGCGGATAGGGGGTGCGCAACAAGTCTGTTCAGAGAAAATTGTTTTCATTGTTGTTGTGCTCTGTTTTGTTTTGACACACACACGTGCTTCTTGAACGAGCACGAACTTACATGGACCGGCGCGATGTTCTTTACTCCATTGCGGAGGGCGCCTTGCGGGCCTTCTGCGGCTACACAGGGAAATAGAGATAGTAGAATTAGAGATCCTGGCTAATACCCCTTGTACACAGAAATTAATTCCGTGCCTTCATCGTCAACCATTTGCAACTCTTACTTTCAGTGGAAATATTTAATCGTCGCTTTGTTATTACAGTGGGCGTAGAATGTATTTGTACACTGATCAATTTCCCAACAAACTTTTGCGTGAAATTGTACAATAGTTTCTCAACTTCTCTTTTTATAATCAATTATATTTTACATACTCTCGGAAATCTCTAGAATAGATACAGTCCAAACAACATTTACTAGTTGATGTAATTTGTGAAATTAACAAAAAAAAAATAATGTGAAAAGTGATAAGTATTAGGTAGGCTGGAAAGTAACGTCGTTTCCTTTATATTAAATTCAAACAAATTTTTAATAAATTTCTATCTTCAATGAATTATGTAATCGCTCTCGTTATCAACAGCGTTTCGAGTGGACCGCGGATATTTATTAGTGTGCAAATTTTGAAAGCCAAATCGATAAATGAACGAGCTAATGATCGTTAAATAAGTATTTAAAATTGCAAAAACGACATTACGTTCCAGTCCACCTAATATTTGTACGATTTTTATGACGAACCATTTACAGTAGAGTATATAACATAAACGCCATTAGTTTACGGCTCCACACGAATTAGAAAACATCAAATTTCCAGTAAAGTACTTTTAAAAAATGGCTCCAATAGAGAAATGAAAAAAGATCCCACTTCTTATTAACTTCTAACTAATAATTTAGTTAATTTAATGATTGGAAGAATTACGATAATTATAAAATCAAGAGAAAATCCCACGAATGAATTATTATGTACTTGTAAATTAATGTCAATCTCTGTTGTTTTTAATCAAATTTTAAAAATTAAACGGTTGTGCGAATACTTATTGCTTCAACATTTCTATCGATTAATTGTTTGTTTCTTGTTAATTTCGCAACTTACATAAATAACTATTTTTTTTTTTTTGTAATCTATCTATTCTAGACATTTCCAAGAACATGTAGAATATCATTATTTATAAAAAAAAAAGCGTTAATAAATTACAATTGTACATAGTTTTTTTGGAAATTGATCGATGCACGAATACTTTCTACACCTACTGTATGAATATTCCAAAGAGATTCTAATTATCGAAGATAGGGGTTTCCCTCTGTTCCATATTTGTCCCTGTTTTTCAGTTTCTATACGTCAGTACTCCAGATATTCGTTACTATGGAACGAACTGAAGATTCCAGCGACAAAAGAATAAACTCTAACGGATGGACGTTAAGTTAACAAAAATGATCTGGCAATTAAACTTACCGCTGGGCTCAGTCCGCGCGCGGCGCTTCCTCCACGTCCCTTGGTGCGGAACTTGGTGATCGCTTGTTCGGCAAGATCCGCCCTTTCTTCTGCCTCCTCGAGCTCTTGTTGCGCTTTACGGAATTTGGCGAGATTCAGGGCAGCGATCTCTTCAGCCTCCTCGATTTGTCTCTTGTACGTCTTGATCTTCTGCTGGAGTTTGTCGACAAGATCTTGCATGCGCTCGTGGTTCTTGCGGTCTTCGTCCGCCTAAAATTCATAAAAATAGTTATTATCGCTATATCACAACCTAATATATTAACGTAGATTTTTTATACGACTGTGCGAAACTGTGCGGTTCTTCGCAATTTTTACAAAGACAACCTAGAAGATATTTACGGTCTGTCATCGCAGAAGCGTGTCGGCTATAATCTCTGTGAATGTTTATATGTTTGTGCAAAATTTTATATGGATCGAATCTACCACTCGATGGTGGCGGACTATATTATGTACTACTTTTATATTGTTATGCTTATTTCCGAAAACTGCTATATTTCGAATTAACAGAGTTGGTTTTGGGCCTATTTTCTCGGGGAGGACGAATTCCTAGAGTACGAATTCAATTTCTGAATTCCCTGACAAATACGGTAAAACGGTTCATTTTTGCTCGTAACTTCTGAACCAGTGGATTCATCGCCTGAAAACTAGCATTTTTGGATTCCGCTCGCCGAAATCTACAGGCTTATGTAAACAAAAGTTACAAGTTTCAGGTCCGCCAAAGTAAAGTTTCACCGAAAGATTATTACCGAGAGCGTGTCGTCACGTAAAATACGCTTTATCGACGCGTCTATGCAACACCGTCCCGTGAATAGCTTCTACTCTATAATGAAAGTATCGTGCTAAAGAAACGTAATAAATCAATTCGTACCTGGAAGCTTAATTCCTTGATGCGGCGTTCGGACTTGCGGAGGTTCTTCTGAGCATCGGCATGTCTCCTTTGTTCTCCATCCAATTCGTTCTCCAGCTCGCGGACGCGTTGCTCGAGTTTCTGAATAGCCTTCTTGCCTCCCTTCAGGGCGTTTGCTTCGGCCTCGTCTAGACGCACCTGGAGTTCCTTGATTTGAGTCTCGAGAGCCTTGCGCAGTTTCTCTTGGGTCTGAGCGTGATCTTGTTCGGCTCGGAGTTCGTCGGCCAATCTAGCTGCGTCGACCATCGCCTTCTTCGCCTTCTCCTCGGAGTTCTTGGCTTCGTTCAAAAGTTCATCCAGGTCAGACTGAAAACAATCATTTTGTACAGATTTTATTACGAATTCGTAGCTTTCAAGCAATTTGTTCGACGTAGCAGAATATGTCAATTGTTCGCAAGAAATGATAGGATATTTCTTTTTCTATATTAACACTTTCGCTGCGGCGGTTTTCCTACTTTCTTTAGCAAACAATTTCATGAATCGATCGACGAGATTCAGAAAAATAATACTCACGTGGAGGGTCTGGAGTTCAGCCTCGAGTTTCCTCTTGGCAGCGGATATAGAAGCGTTCTGTGCACCAAGTTCGTTCAGTTGCTCGTGGCAGTCAGCCAGTTCTTGTTCCGCTTGGCGACGTCCGCGGTCAGCTTGTTCGAGAAGAGTGCGGCTCTCTTCGAGTTCGTTCTGTAGAGCGTTGGCGCGACGTTCGGAGATTCCGAGGAGTTCTCTGGCCTCGTCGCGTGCTCGTTGTTCTTCTTCGAGCGCGGTCTGCACGTCCTTCAGTTGCTGTTGGTATCTCTTGATGTTCTTTTGAGCTTCGGCGTTCGCCTTGTTCGCGTGATCCAGAGCGATCTCCAGTTCGTTGATGTCAGCCTCGAGCTTCTTCTTCATGCGCAGCGCCTCAGCTTTACCCTGAAGATTATAGAAAATTCAGCTTATCCGAAGTCCGCAATTTTCCACAATGTAACCGAATTTGTAAATTTTGTTGTAAACAAAAATTAAGAACAAAGGAATGTACTTGTGTCGAGACTAGATCTGAGCATTTTTCAAATGACGTTATTTGAAATAATATTTAAGATACTATTAACATATAATGAATTTAAATATTATAATACAAGGGGAACCGAAAAGTAATGTCATTTCTTTTACATTAAATTCAAACACATTCTTAATTTTCTATTTTTAATGAATTATGTAATCTACCTACTATTTGCGTACCTAGTGCGCAAATTTTCAATGCCAGATTGATAAAAAAACAATGCGTCGATGAATGATAAATAAGTATTGAGATTCGCAGAAACGACGTTACTTTCCAGTCTAGCTAACACATTACTTCGAATAACAAGTTATTTTATTTTATAATTATTTTAAATAATTGTGAAATTGTTCTTCTGAATGATACGAGGTGAACTGACAAGTACATGACGATTTTGAATTTTAAAACAATGAATTTCACGTTTATCGTTCAGACGTGCGAAAAAATAGACGGTCTATGTTAAATAATTATCCGATTATGTAAGATAACATTGAATTGTCTCGATTGTTTGAAGAAAGAAT